ATTCAGGTGCCCTGGAGGTGGGTGGGAGGTAGGTCATGCCCCTGGAGAAACACCAGGGAGGGAGCTGGGGGTGGGTGTGTGAAAGTGTGTGTGTCTGTGTGTGTGTCTGTGTGTGTGTGAGAGAGAGAGAGAGAGAGAGAGAGAGAGAGAGAGAGAGAGAGAGGGAGAGATCAGGAGCCCGTGACTACATGATGCTGGGTTCATGGTGTGGTGATGTGGGGACATGTTTTTAGCACAGGAGGGACGATGGCAGGAATGGATAGTTCTAATTGCTGTGTGTGTTTGTATATATACACGCATATGTATGTGTGGGGGTGTGTGTTTAAAAAATAAGATCACACATACATACAAACACACAGCCTAACTTTAATTATCTGAAGGGAGCAGGCGAGATCTGGGAGGAGCTGGGAACAATGATGGGCAGGGATGTGTTTGGAAAGTGGGGTGAGTGCTTGAAAATCCTGAGAGGAGGGGACCCCGCCAAGGGATGGAAAGGATGCTGCGTGTGGCAAATCAAATAGCACAGGTGCAGGTACCCAGAGACTCTGGAGAGCTCGGTGTCAAAGGCCGCGAAGCTGGCCAGACGGTGGCACGGGTGTGCCCAAGAGTGTCAGCACATGTGAGTGAGCAAGCTGGCAGAGTGTGCATCAGGGTTTTAGCTGGTTGAGAGGAGGAGTGGTAGCGATAGGTGTGAGTGGGGCAGAGACAGAGGAGGTAGCTGTGATGGAGAATTTCCGAGAATGGCTGTGGAAGCAGGCGGGGTAGTAGATGGGGAAGGAAGGGTCACGGGCAAGCCTGTGCGTGTGAAACAGGACCGCTTCCATTGGAGGTGAAAGTTGCCTCTGCTCTACCCAGCACCCTCTGTAGAGTAGCCAGCTTGATGCTGATTTGGGGGTATGCTCAGCTGTGAGGTGGCCCTGGTGACTGCCGCCATGTCCCAGCTCAGGGACCAATAGAGGGCAGTCCTCCCACACGGAGGCCTCCCAAGCGGCAAGGGGAGCCCAGAATGGAGGGCCAAACACTAACTCCAAGGCCTTCACATATGCGGAGCAGGGACAGGATTGACGGCTCCTCTGGCTTCGGGTCACTAAGCCAGAGGCTCCAGGTGAATCCCCTTCCCTAAGCTTGGGGGCAGCCGCCAGACCAAGTAACCAGCCTCCTCTCGTTCCTCCCCCTGCTCAGGTGGGTCTCTTTTCAGGAGCTCCAGCTCTGCTGGGGAAAGCCTGGGCCTGGGTGTGTCACTAGAGGCTTGACCTTCCCCTTTGTCGGCCCAGAGCCTCTCCAGAGGAGGCTCAATTCTAAAGAGCCCTAAGTGGGCAGTTGTGGTGGGGGTCAGCTAGTCCTGTGGACACCCAGTTGAGTCTTGGGGTCAAGGGATGATTGCACAGGTCCTAAGCTATGCAACATTGATGCCAGTGCAACTTCCTGGGGCACGTGGTGGTGGGGAATACAGGCGTCCTTGAAGTTCAGGGCCGGGCACCATCCAGGTGCGCCTTGATGATCACAGGCGACCACAGTGGCCACCTTCCTTCTTCCCATTTTAGCCACCCCCCACCCTGCAAATATTGTCCCAGCTCAAAGCATCAGCAATGTAGCATGGACTTTCTTTCACCCCTCCTATGTCTGGGAGCAGCTATGGATTTGCAGGCACAGTGGCACATGCACACGTTTGTGCACCAACACAGAGAGGCTCACATGGGGAGAGGGATGCTCTCTCTAGCTACCAGAATCTGTGGTTGCGTGATCTTAGAAAATAATTTTGTTCCAGTGAGAAGGGGAGGGAGATGGGATGAGAAAATCCCAAATCTGTTAGGGAAAGCTTGGGCTTCGTGGGAGGTCAATGCTGGGGACAGCTGGCTCTCTTGAACGAAAGGAAGTTTCAAGCTCTCAGGAGTGAGCAGGTAGATCCACATACACATGGGAGGGAAAAAGCCGCGGTCAAGCTCACAGCCGACTGCCTTTCCTAAACTCTTATTTTATCCAGGGAGTAAGACTCCAGGGAAAGATATTTCTCCATATTTCCTATGGTTTCTTTCTTATACAGTAAGATGTGTTGTGGTTCCTACCATCATCCCAGGCTGGCGACTAGGGGAAGGAGCCCCCAGGGGCCTTCTGTGACCAAGGGTTGGGTTACCGGGTAGCTGTCCCAGGCTGGTGTCTCATTAGGCAAAATACTCGCCAAGTGGAATATTTTCTTCCGTCCCCTTTCCCACTTTTTTTTCATCGTTTTGTTCTACTCCTCAGCTGCTGCTAGATCTTGGGGGCCACATTGTTTTGCTGTTTTTGAGTTGACTTGCTTAAATAATAAATCCACCCTCTTAGACGGGGTTAAGCAGACAATTAGGAAATCAATCAATCAATGGGTGTCAGCTGCAGGCAGAGGCCGGGGAAGGGCCCCGTCTTCCTGGCCGCCCTTTCCAACCTCCAATCCTGCTGCAGCTCAGGCGGCAGGGAGCTCTGAGCTACATTCGCTTCCATTTCAGGGCCCCGAGGCTGGGACAAATCTAGGAAGGACGAAACAAGGAGGGAGTGTGGGGAAGTGTGGGACTACTTCGAAGTTCCGTAGTTAGTGGAGCAGGAAATGAGAGGCCTAGGTGGGGTGACCAGCGGCTCCCAGTCGGTCGTGGTGTCACCCAACTGGCAGGTAAAGTTTCCAGCATCCTTTGTAAGAAGCCTGGGGAGGCTCCGTGGCCTGCCGGTTTGGGGAACGGAATGGCTGGGACACGGGTGCCAACTGCAGGGCTAATCACTAATTAGGCTGGACTTAAGGAGGGAGAAAAAAAAGGAGCTGCGAGAGGCTGAGCCTTTGAAAACCATGGTGGCCTCTGGTTGGTGGCCTCTGCAGAGACAACTCTCTCCTGAGATTGAGGGGCAGAGCCCAGGGTGTCACCTGGAACCCTCAGCATCGAACAAGTCATCCTGAGGCCCCAGCCCGCCTGAGACAGCCAACTTGGGGGTCTGGGAGCACCTCTCTGGGCGCCCAAGATATTGTCGGCTGGAGCCAAGGCCTCTCACAGGCCTGGGCTTGGACAACTTCCCTGGTGGGAGGGGGCCACACACATACCCTCACTAGGGACACAACTTTCTCCCCAGCTTGTGCCTTCAAGCTTTGTCTCCACGAAGAGTGACAGAAACCTCATGTGGTTTCTCCTGAGAAGGGAAAAGAACTGCATCTACGGAGCAAAGAGGAAGAGCCGCTTGATTAGTATTTTTAAGAGGAGTTGCTCTAAAGGAGAAGGAGCTTGACTGGGACACAGATAGTCTGTGGCTTTGGCCCTGAAACCCGGAGCTGCCTCCACCATCCTGACTCTGGGGAGGGGGGCAGGCTGTGTTTAAGGCTTGACAGGGGGATGTCTGAGAAGGTCTGCTTCCCTCCCCAGGTCATGACTACACAGCCCGGGAGTCCTCCGATAGGCAGGAGCATCACTCCCTGGGGAGCGGGGGTTCCCTTGGGGACCCATCCCTGGAGAGGCGATGCCAGGGCTTTCTGGTGGCACAGCTCTTCTTGCCCCCACTCCTCCCCAAGAGAAGTTGGGGCAGGTCATTTGTTTGCATAGAAGTAGGACCAGCTTTGCCCACGCAAACTGGCGGGGGTCCCTGCCCAGGCCATTCAACTCCCCCAGGACCCCTGTCTAAGCTGTTAGAACTCCCAGTGGATCCAGGCAGGTTTGGGTACTGTTTGTTTGCAGGTGGAAAGCCAGCTGGGGTGGGCTGGTGGGGCCTGACTCGGCTTCCAACTGCCCCAAGACCCAGAATGATGAAGTTGGCCTGGATCCCACCTGGGGAGTGCAAAGATGCCCGGCTGGTGGTCCAGGTCGAGAGAGGCAGGCTTCTTCCTTGGCCCAGAAGAGGAGCTAAGTTGTGACTGAGGAATGGCCGATCCAAATTCGGTGTGGTGTCTGCAGTGTCTTAGGCCCTGGTCTGGTCCCGGGATAGTCTGTTTATGGGGTGGGGTGGGGGACATGAGGTAGCTTCATCTTCCCTAACCTCACTCATCTGAGGCAGGGGCTCAACCATTGCCCAAGTAACAAGCAGCACCGATACTGGCCTGGAAGAAGGTCTGTGTGGTCACCTTCCTCCAAGAGAGTGAGGCCAGAACTTTGGGGGAGGTGAGTCGGGGTATCCCATTCCATCACCCACAAACCAACCCAGCCCTAGTAGTAAAGAGGACAGGACACAGCCCTGGGGTACATGTTTATGTGAGTAATAAAATATTTACTATAACATAAATATAAAGGGAACTTCCCAGTCTACATTATTATTATTTTTTTGCAATAAAGATACAAAGAGAATGCACCAAAACATTGTTCCAAAAAATAATAAAAATAAAATAACAAAATTTAAATTCAAACGGTAACAAACAGAACAAGAAATGGAGAAGGGGGAAGCTCCAAACACATCCAGAAAATAAATAGAGATGGATCAGAAATCTGGAAATCATATTAAAATATCTTCTTCGGATTAGTGGGTGTACAAAATCCTTTAGTATGGGGAGGGAGGGCAACCCGGAAAACCAAAAATAAAAACCAAGCACAAAATGTTTCTTTCTCCCCGCCAGTGTGTACATATCTCACATATTTACATGGTTCCCACCTCACCCCAAATTTGGGGAATTTCTCTGCAGGCCTCCTCCAGCATCCCGCATCCCAGGGGGCTGAAAGGGAGCGGACGGAAGCTGCAGGGACTCAGGCAGAAGGTTCTCAGGGAACGGCTTATTTCTACAGCTGGTTAAAAAATATCTCCAACTTTTCCAAGTTTCGTTTGTTTGTGGCCGGGAGGTCAGGGCCCCGCGGGGAGTGGGGGCCCTGCTGTGCGGTGGTCGGTCTACAGCCGGGCAGAAGCCCCTTCCCATCTGCGTGTGCGTGGGAGCGCAGACCCCTCCAGCGTGGCCGGGAACCGAGCCGGAGCTCGGATAAAACGAAACGAAAAATGAACACTCGAATTTTTTTTTGTTGTTAGTTTTTCTTTTTTGTTTGTTTTTTGTTTTATTTTGCTTTTTTGGGGTAGGGTAGGGGAAGGTAAGGGGAAAAAATAAATTAGGCTAGATTAAAGCTTTGGCTATTTCCTGCTTTTATACACAGACGCGGCTCTCGCGGCCTCCCCTCCGGGGCCCCGATAAATACAGTATACAGCGATTTAAATTAAGGGCGCGGGCGGAGTTAGAAGGACCCCAGGAGCCGAGAGGCTCCGTGAATAAATAAAAACTGTAAAAAACCAAGCCCGGAGGAAAGGTAAGGGGGATGGGGCGCATCCTTATGAGAGAGAAGAGGCGTGGAGCGAATAAAGTGACAGTCCCCCACCCTCGACACTCAGGCTCGGGAATCCGCGCCGGGGAGAGGGATGGGGAACTCTCCTCTCCGTCCTCTCTCCCGGGTAATCCCTAACCCCGTACCGCGTTACCTGTCGCTGTGGGGAGGCCGCTGCCGGGATCCGGCCCCGAACAGCCCGGGGGGGCAGGGGCGGGGGTCGTCGAGGGGTTGGGGGCAGGGAGCAGGCGGCGGGCAGGATGCCCGGGGTGAGTTGGCGCGTTCCGGATCTTCGCTCCTCTCTCTCGGGGCTCGGGCGACGCAGCCTATCGGCCGTCTTCGCCGCTCGCAGGAGAGGGTCGTCCGGGTGTTTGGTTTTATTCGAAAGTTTCTGGGCTTTTTGTAAAATCCAAAGCAACCGAACAAAAAGAGTTCAGGCCGCGCGGCGCCTCGCCGCGCACCGGCGGGGGGCCCGGCCCGCGGGGTCACTGCACGGAGCCGGGCAGTGTGTGGTGGTGGTGGTGCAGCGCGGCCGGCGGGGGCGCCGAGGGCGGCGACGCACCGCCCCCGCCCGGCCCCAGCTCGCCGGGCGCGTACACGTCGTCCATGGGCGGGTGGCCGGCGCCGGCCGCCGGGGTCATGCGCTTCTCCTTCTGCCGCCGGTTGCAGAACCAGACACGCACCACCTCCTTCTCCAGCTGCAGGCTGTCGGCCAAGCCTGTGATCTCATGCGCCGAGGGCTTGGGGCACTTGAGAAAGTGGCTCTCGAGCGCGCCTTTGACCCCCACCTCGATGGACGTGCGCTTCTTGCGCTTGCGGCCCTGCGCCGCGATCTTGTCCATGTTGGTGGGGCTGCCGCTGGACGAGTCGGTCTCCTCCAGCCACTTGTTGAGCAGCGGCTTGAGCTTGCACATGTTCTTGAAGCTCAGCTGCAGGGCCTCGAAGCGGCAGATGGTGGTCTGCGAGAACACGTTACCGTACAGCGTGCCCAGCGCCAGCCCCACGTCGGCCTGCGTGAAGCCCAGCTTGATGCGCCGCTGCTTGAACTGCTTGGCGAACTGCTCCAGGTCGTCCGAGCTGGGCGCGTCCTCGTCCGAGTGCTCGCCCACCGACGAGCCACCGCCGCCCGCGCCCGGGTGCAGGTGCGCCGCTGCCGCGTGCAGGCCGCTAGCGTGTGCATGTCCGTGTGCGTGTCCGTGGGCGCCCAGGTGCGGCGGAGGCGACGGCTCCAGCTGAGCCTCGTGGCCGTCCTCGTGCAGCGCGTGGTGCAGGCCCGGCCCCGCGCCGCCGCCGCCCGCCGCCAGCATTCCGGCCAGGCCGCTGCCGCCGCCCCCCGGGTAGGCCGCCTGCGCGTACAGCCCGAGCGGTTGGGGCTGGTGGCCCCCGCCAGCCCCCGGCGACGGCGACATGGCCGGGCCCAAGTGGTGTGCCGTGCCGCCCTGCGCCCATGCCGCGCCCGCGTGGGCCGCCCCCTGGTGCACCAGGCGCGCGTGGAAACCGCCGCCGCCGCCACCGTCGTCGGCTCGGCCAGCGCTGCCGCCGCCCGCCTTGCCGTGTTCCAGGTGCGGGCCGCCTGCCCAGTCGCCGCCGCCGCCTCCTCCCGTGGGTAGCCACTGCGGGTGCGCTAGGCCCACGGGGTGGCCCGCGCCCGCGCCCAGCCACTCGTGGTGCATCAGCTTCTGCACTTCGCGGTACGCGGCCCCCGCGTGCAGCCGCTCGGCTGCCGCCGCCGCTGCCGCTGCCGCCGCGGCATCCGGATGCATAAGCGGTCCCGTGCCCCCGGCTCCGCCGCCGGGGCCCCGCGGCAAGTACTGCGCGGTGGTGGCCATGCCGCCCCGCGCCCCGCGCCGCGCCGCCGCCGCCGCTCCGCTCCGTCTGCGGGCCCCGCCGCCGCGCTCCGCCGGCTTAAAGCCCGACCAGCTCAGCGCTCCGGAGCCCCACCCCACCCTCCGTCCATTGGCTGCCAGCGGAGCCGCCTCCCGCCCCCCGGTCCCGGCCCCCGCCCCCCCTGCCCGCCTGCCTCTCGGCCCGGCCGCCCAGAGCTCGCCATTGGGCCTCACTCCTGGGGTCCCGCGCGCCGACCATGCTGATTGGCCGCTGGGGCTTCATTCACAGCCCCCCTACCTTCCGCGTATACGCTCACGCCCCGGGGGCGCGGCCGCCACGTGGGGAGTGGCGCGGGGGTGGCACTGGGACCGCACCCCCTCTCGTCCTGGCTGCGTGGGCCCCACTTTCCCCCGGCGCTGGAGACTCCGAGCCCGGCGGGTCCCACGCTCCAAGCTAGCAGAATTCTCGCCGGTCACCCGCCCGTGTGGCCAGAGGCTGTGGCGGGGATGGCGGGCTCCGGGAGGCGCTCGGGTTCCGAGAAGCAGCTCAGCCCCGCGCTCCTCCTTCCGCCGTGCCGCTGCCGGCGGGCCGGGATTCCCGCGGGTCTCGGCGGCTGCGAGCGGCAGGCGGCGCGGGTCCCCGGCTCGGTTGCGGCGCGGCTGCTCACCTCGCCCGCCTCGCCTCCCGCGACTTCCAGCGGGCACGGAGCTCTCCTCTGCGCTCCTCCCTGGCCCGTCTCGTTTTGCCTCTTCACCCTCTAGTCCGCCCAGCGCAACTCCGTCGACCTCCGCCGCCCTGAGAGACCGTCGGGCGCGGGCAGAGTCGGACTGGCCCCGACTTCACGCCTCTCACGGGCTCTCCTCCCGGGCGCCGCGGCCCAGGTGAGTACCTCGCGGGTGGCTCGGGGCCGGAACGGCCGGCGGCAGCGATGCTGTGGGGAGACGGGAGCTCCTGTAACCAGGCCGATTCCGAGGTTCCTGAGTGAGAGGATCTCGAGGTGGAGACCGTGGCTCCGGGAAAGCACCGCCGACAGGAATGGTGGACACACTGGGCCCACGGGTATCTGACCCACGCCGCCGCCTCGCTCCTTCTCTTTCCTGCCTGCCCGGCTCATTGGCCTGGGTCATGGCGGGGTCACGCCCCGGGGAAACTTGCTCTAGGTGAGGAGTGGCGTGGACATGGGGAAGGGCGCTGGTGCCTCAGTAATCCGGCGTGCAGGCTGGGAGCTGTCCAGCCTTGCAGGGAGCCCTGGGCTAGAGTTTAACCCACTTGCCTGGGGCTGCTGAAAAGGGAACTGGGACTGAAGAGGTCTTGTTGGAAAGGTGCGGCATGCAGTGGCTTACCTACTCATCCCCCAGGTCTTTGAGGACTCCCTGAAGGATCCTGAGTGGACTTGGACCCCAGCATCAGCTCTTCTGTGCCACGCTGGCTGGAGGATGAGTGGAATGAGCTGTAGCCTCCACGTCTTCCCCACGCTGAGGCTTGGCTCTTGGGGAGTCTTCCAGCTGCCAGTTCACCTCTTTTCTATCCCTGATCTTGCCTCCAATGGATTCATAGATTCCAGGGCCCCGGGGGTCCCAGATTGGAGGACCGATTGGGGGCCCAGCTAGGGCCCTACTGGCAAGTCAGGACTGTGGAATAAAGCCTCAGTGTGTGAAGAAGGGTGATGGGGGGGGGCTCAGGGGGCAGCCGCAGTGGGGGTGACTGGGGCAGAGTCGACAGTGACAAGGGTCATCCTTGGGCACAGACTGTGCTCATCCAGGCCCTAAATGCCCTAGGACCAGCCTCTGGCTAGCCCCCAAGGGATGGGGTGGCCACTGGCCACTGTCCTGAGCAGAGTCCTTAGGCACTACTCCCACTGCAAGAGCTGTGATGGAGCCCTGTGTCTGAACCTAGCTAGGGATGCTGGGCTTTCCTGGACTGTGGCCCAGGAAGTGGTCACCTTGAGGCAGCCCAGGACTTCCTGGTCCACTTGCCTTCCTGGCCTCTCTCCCAGGCTCAGGAGGTAGGACCAAGGCTGGGAATCCTGTAGTGAAGTCCCCTCCCATGCCAGCCCTAACCAGACCTGCGTGACATTGAAGCTTGGGCTTCCAACCCGGACCTGCTACTCTCTTCCTGGGCAAGAATAACTCTGGCCCAGTCTTCTAGGGCGTGGTTCTTCTACCTGTAAATTGGGAATAACAGTACCATAAGCAGCACACCTGTCTCACTAAGGTAAGTTAGAGGGTGGTACAAGACAATGTGAGTGAAAAGGGCTCAGAAAGGACTTTTCACTCTCGCTGTTTCTATTGTTAGTGCCCAGTGAAAGAACAGGTTACTCCCCCTCTCTAACTCAATCTCAGTTTGCTCATCTGTAGAGTGGGGTTCTGGAGGCTTGGGCCCAGTGACTTCTCTGGTAAACTCCCTTCCAGCTCTGATGGTCCGTGAGTCTATGAACCTGTCTCAGTTTCTGTCAGAGGAAGGGAAATGTCTGGACAGTGGACAGGTGTTGTTTGGAACGGTCATCATGAGCAATGGGTGCTTTACCAAATGCTTTTCATTCATCACGTTACCTGCCGCTCTCAGCCCCGAGAGTGAGCGCTGGGATTGTTCTCCCATTGCACAGCTGAGGGAACTGAGGCTCGTCCGAGGGCCAAGAATGTGTGGAGGTCCCACTCCCCGTCATCCTCCCTGTGGCTGTGGGATGGGAAGGGTGTGGAGGCAGCGGCTTTGGCCGTCATAGCAGAGAGAGCTCACAGAGAGAGCTCTCTGGTCAGCTGGCACTCTTGAAGCTGAGTTCCCCAGGTCTGTGCTGAATTGAGTGGTGGCTGCGGCAAAGCCAGGCTCCTAGGTTGCCAGCTTGTCAGCTAGCAAATCTCAGTCCCAATCCCATTACCCCCCTTCAGTACCCCTGCCCTTTGCTTTGCCTGTTGGAGCCTCAGTTCCTTTATCTTAAAATGAGGGCAGTAATGCCTGCTTCTCAGGTTTGCTCTGAAGCTGCAAGGATGAAACAAAGCATGTAATTTAGATGCCCCCTCTTAATGTGAGATGCTGCTCTGGGGTGAACAACAGTGTGAACTAGGAAAGGATAACATTCCTTTCTCTGCTTTGGAAGTTTTAGATCTCCTACAATAATATGGGTTTGGTCTTGAGTCACAATTTTCTTATATTTGAGAGTTAAGTTTCCCCTAGGAAGTCTCGGCATCTCCTTTGCTCTTGCCCCTAGAGATTCTGGGTGGGACACTGGGGGCTATGACATGGCCATTGGCAGAGACACCTGTTACAGAGCATCTCCTCTCTCCAGGAGCCCTACCCTCGTAGACCACAGAGAAAACCCAGAACACGGAAGTCAGACAGCCAGCTGACCAATGCAGACACAGAATGGTTTAGGCATATGAACAGATGTGCATTCACACACACACACACAAATGCATAGCCTGCAGATACACACATGAAATTTAGCCTGGAGACAAACATTCAGATTCATAATAGAAACACATGGACTCCCATCATTAGGCTGGATGTTCAGAGTCACACAAATCAACACACAATGATAAATACAGGCATGTGTCTCAACAGGAACATTCGCAGAACCCATGCAGAGGCTGAAGTTGGCTCAAGTAGGCATTCCTTCAGCAACATAGACATAGAGGGGACCTGCAGGCCCTTCGGGTGACAAGCATGGAGGCTCTCAGCTGGCACGCCAATTCACACAGATGGGCACACCCTCGTGTGTTCACAAACATGAGCACACACTCTCCCACCCAGTGCACAGATACAAAGAGGCCCACCCCACGCATCACACAGACACCTACATCCTGTAGGAACTAACCCATCTGCACAGCGGATCAGAAAGCAGAGGAAGGGGCTGTACCCAGCCCTGAGTTTAGTCCATGCGAGTCAGTGGCCCCACTCATTCGAAGGAAGCAGGAAAGCCCTTTCTTTTCATATATTTTTTTTCACTCTCCTTGTCTGCGGAGGACAGCTCCCAGCCAGGCCGCCGCCAGTCTCAGAGGCTCCCCGGCCTCCCTCCCCAGCAGGGGCCCCTGCCCAGACTGCCCCCAGGCCAGGAGCTGCCCGGGCTTTCCCAGAGTGGCAAGACCTCCTCCAGGCTCTGGAGTGTGACCGAGCGCCTGCTCATTTGACACAGGTCACCGAGCCTCCGGCAGATGGGGCCCTCGCTGTGGGGGATCTCTGAGCTGGAGGGGCTGCAGGGGGAGGCTCTGTGGGGCTGAACTGCAGCTACACAAACCCCACATTCTCTGTGCAAAGTCTCAAGTCACAGACACAAACCCCTGCCATCTACATTCACACTCCCGCCTGAGAAGTTCAGATGCAGCCTCTAGAGTCTGACCACACTCGCCATGAGCTGCACTGCAGCCACACATGCACCGTAATATTCCAGACGCACATCCCAGACAGGCGAGCCTACACAGTGGCGCACTGAACGAGATTTGGGAGGAAGAGGAGGCAGCTGGTTCCGGCTGCTTTCCCGCTTTGGACTCTGGGCCCCTGCTGCTGTGTCTTGTGCGTGGGGCAGTGGGTCCTCGGAGTCCAGGGCAGCACTGAGAGGAGATGCAGCCACAGACCCAAGGCTTTTTCAGTGTTGCGGGAAGACGGGCTCCAAGACACTCCACCTGGATTCCTCGCAAGTCAGGAGTGCTGAGCGGAGCTAAAGAGAGGAGAGATTGGGCCCGTGGGGAGGGCTGCTAGAGGAGCTTGTGTCCTAGGATGCCCTCCTGTGTGCGTGGGCTTGAAGTCTTTGTCTGAGGCAGGCTGGGCTGGAAGGGGGGCGGGATGCGGGCAGCACTCAGCCCACTTCCTTTCCCTTCTGCCAGTCTTCTTATGCCCCAGATCCTGTGTTTTCAGAGTGTCAAGGGTCCTGGGTTCCGTCTTGACTCAGACTCAGGCCTGCTGGATGACACTGGACCAGCCTCAGCCTCCTGACCTCTGTGAGCCTCAGTGTTCTTATCTGTAAGCTGGGCAGGATGGTCTCTGCTGGGTTCTTGTGAAGGCGGGATGAGATCACTGCCCCGATGGAAACTCGGAAAGGGGAAGCATGGCTTG